CAGATAGCAGCAGCACTCGTGAGACTCAAGTTTTAGCCTATTTTGGGCATTTTCATCTTGTTTTATCGTGGATTCTTGTAGATTAACATTCTAGTTAATTAATATGTTGATTTTATCTACTACTTCTTCAATTTCTGTTGCTATTATGTCTAGCTAAACCCATTAGCTAGGGTTGTGGCTCAACCCTAGTGTGGGCAATTAATGGGTGTGATTGTTTAATGCTTGAATGATGTTGGGTGTTTGCTATTTGGGTTAATTTTATGATTTAACTAGGATTTGGTGGTTGCAAACACTAAGTCTAGCTTAGTGGGTCTTGACTCTTCTTGAGAAAGAGTGTCTATGACTCCAAAATTAACCCAACAAGGAATTGGGATGGACCCGTGAGAATGGTAGTCCCAATTAACGGGTTAAACCTCGAGAGAGTAATTACCCAACTTGAATCCTAAGTTGCTTGGGCTTGTTGGCCTACCCAATTGGTCTCGAGAGAGTCAATTGGGCAAAATCACTCTTTCTATCGAGAGGTGTGAGAGTGAGTGCAATCGTGCAACGCTTATAGCATAAGCCCTATAATCATCATTCTTGTATTAGGAATCTCTACCCGTTAGTTGACCACCTAGGTAAATGCCACGACCCTAGTGCCTTTCTCTATCTTGCATACAACCTAGAATTAATATCTTAGCAGAATCTAGTTATAATTAGTAGTTGTTAAATTGTAGTTGATAATCATAAAAACCCAAAAATGATAGAAGATCAATTAAAAGCAAACACGCATTTCTAGGCTAAGCAAATATCCAACTCCCTTTCTAGCTCCCTGTGGAAATTGACCCTGATACCACTATTGGGTAAAAGTATTAGCGCCCACTCTTCCTAAGGTTGAGTCCGCTGCGCTATTCACAGGCACTCTTCATAGAGAAGAGCCCTGAGATATTCATGCGAAACCTCTTTGGGATTGGCTTTGGTACCGCACTCGGATGAAAAGGCTTTTGAATAAATTTCTTGATATCTGGCCCTTTTAATATCGGGGGTGCCCTCAGGATCTAATCGACCCTGGAATTGTATGTTTCCACCTTCTTGTCATTAGCCTTAATCCATTTCTCACCTGACTTACCCGTTTCGTCAATGCTTCGATCATCTTCATTACCTCAGGACTCACCCCGGGCTCGACTTCCCCCAGTCTCTCGGTAATTTGTTCATCCCTTCGGGTACTTTTCTGGGATTGTTCGAGCTCCACCCTGTTGGGGGCGTGGTTTTGACTTTGCAGCTGTGCTATTGCCGCTTGTTGAACCTGTAGCATCTCGAAAAATCAGTCATAGGCTCACCCCATCACCTTCGCCTTTAGGCACTTCTCGAGCTATCGGTCAGGGTTCCCCGCAAACAGTATTTTCAAAATCAGTTGGCAGGTTGACGTTGATGGCCACCGTGGGGTTCGGTAGGAAGCACATTATTGTTGGGCACCAAATTATCATTTTCGCCGTGATGGACTGACTCAACGTCAATGTTCAAGTGAGCAGACTGAGAGTTAGACATTTTTGGGCTGACTTGCAATTAAGATTTCAAAGAACACACGTAAATAGGGTGTGTTATGGGGATTCACATCAAATTACCACTATTATCCTTAGCCCCACGGTAGGCGCCAAGTTGTTTGCCCTAAAATTAGGTAACACTTAAATTTGTATGTGGTTTAAAGGATACATAGTTTAATTCAACACGAATAATTAAGAATATCGGATAAATAAATTAAAGACGAAATAAACGATCAAACCAATTGCGATGTTATGGCCAAGCCTAATCTTAGATTGAACAACAACGTCAACTTCGATTGGACCCTCAATTCGGACCCAGTTATGAATGAAGAACGATACAAGTGAGCAAATGTTCTTAACAGTAGCTTAGAGAACAAAAATAACTTTTATTGTCTTGGAATGCGTGTTATATCTCCAAACTAAAGATAAATTTTCCTTTATATAGTAGGAGGGTTTTAATCCTAGTACAAATCTAAATAAGGTGAAAAATCCTCTTCTCCCGGTAATTGTTGATCAATAATCGACATCGAGCGAGATTTGCACCGTGATATCCTGTCGGTGGCGAGTATTGCGGCCCCTATCAGTCGTGCATAACCATTCACCACGTCTCCCGAGGTCTAGAAGTCATACTCAGTCCGGGGCTTGTCGCTTTACCATGTTCGATGCCGCAAATTCCTTTCACTCTTTCGGGGTCACGATACGAAAGGCCTTTCACCTCGACTGCAACCTCCCGGTTCTGTGCTTCCCCTCCGTTCTCTCATCTAGGGATCGGGGTAGACTTTACCCCGGATTTTTTCCGTACACATATGACAAAAAGGTCAATTAATATTTTGAGTACCGTGCCAAGATAAATAGTGACACATGAAATGAAGTGGAAGGAGTAGGTATATAATAGACCTTTCATATTTAAGTAAGAATGTATTATAGACTCTATGCCTCGTACAAGGACTGTGCCATGGCTACAGCTGATGAAATACATTAGTATTAACCAGAAGGTACGTACCAGGCAGACGTAGTTCTTATGCAACGAGCCCTTTTTTTCTGCTTCTGATCTGTTCAATCAAATCACAGTCAAACTATCAATTTTTCTCTTCTGATTCTGCAAACCCGAAAACGAAGAGTACCTGTCTGTCTTCTATATTAATCCAATTTTTTATTTGATTTTAAAGCTTATAAAGTTAATTTGACCTGGTAATGTCAAAAAGATTTAAATAATTAATACATAAAAATTAAATTCTTTTATTTCTTCAATTAATTCCATGCTTTTTACCTTTCCGGAGCCTTTTTATTTTCTTTATCTTTGTATTTTTCCTGAGCCAAAGGTTTATCGAATAGGCTCCCCACTTTCTCAAGGAAAAGACAAGGACTGCATACACACTGTTCTTCCCGGGCCTTACATGTGAAATTTCAATAGATTTGTTGTTGTTATATTATAAAAGCATTTACTAGTAGACAAGTAGCCTCATATACGCTTATTCGCACACATTATTTATACCAGAGTCAAAAATTACATTGAAAAAAATATTATTTAATAATAAATAAGGGGTAAAATTTAATTTGCGTGACTTTTTTTTTTTTTTTTTTTGCATTTATATGTTTGGTGCAAATATTTGATAGCTAAGTTTATCGTACTATATATACACATATAAAGATTTATGTTAGTATATCGTTTTTTAACTTAAATGGATCACATTGATGATTAGTTTTTAACTAACTGTAGTAAGTTTCATAAATTATGTTATTAATGAATATTTATTGTAAAAAGTTAATTAAAATTAAAATCTACAATAGCATGATAAAGTAACAACATGAACGACCCAATGAAATCTATTAGTGGGGTCTGAGGAAGATAATGTATACGTAGACCTTACCCCTACCCCGAGGGAGTAGAGAGGCTGTTTCCAACAGCCCCTTAATTCAAGAAAACGAAAAGAGGAAGAAAGAGGAAAAGAGGAGAAGAGGCAAAATATCAACACCATCAACAGAAACCATAGAGAAAATAACAGCATCACAAGCACTGGTAAATAGATGAAAAGCAAAACAATAACCAGTAACCAGTAAATAATGCCTGACACTATGAAAACTAGGAGAATAGTGTGAACACAATATTAACCACTAGTAGTCTCGGACAAAAACCAAACACACTAGCCTCACTCTGGCGGAAAGTAGAAATATGCTCAACTACCTCCTAACCTACAACCCTAATGCTCGACCTCTACAGCTTCCTATCAAGGGCCATGTCCTCGGTAGTCTGAAGCCACGCCATGTCCTGACTGACCACCTCTCCCCAATACTTCTTAGGCCGTCCTCTACCTTTCCTCGTACCTACCAAAGCCGGTCGTTCACACCTTCTTACCGGGACATCTGGACTTCTACTTTGGATGTGCCCGAACCATATGAGTCTCGCTTCCTGCATCTTATCATCCATGGGGACTGCGCCCGCCTTCTCCCGAATATCCTCATTCCTAATCTTATCCATCTTAGTGTGCCCATACATCCACCTCAACATCCTCATTTCAGCTACTTTCATCTTCTGGATATGTGAGTTCTTAATTGGCCAACACTCAGCCCCATACAACATGGCCGGTCTAACCACCGCTTTATAAAACTTACCTTTGAGTATGGTACTTTTTTGTCACACATGACTCCCGGTGCTGACCTCCACTTCAACCACTCTACCCCTATACGGTGTGTGACATCCTCGTCAATCTCCACATCCGCCTATATAACTGACCTAAGGTACTTGAAATTGCCTCTCTTGGGAATGACCTGTGATCTAAGCGTCACTTCCAAGCCCGTTTTCCTCGGCTCGGCTCGGCCCTGAACTTGCACTCCAGGTATTCCGTCTTAGTCATGCTCAACTTAAAACCTTTAGATTCAAGGGTTTGTCTCCAAAACCTCAAGCCTCTCGTTAACATCACTTCGCGTCTAATCAATTAGAACTATGTCGTCAGCGAATAACATACACCATGGCACCTCCCCTTGAATATGGTGTGTCAATGCATCTATCATTAGGGCAAATAAGAACGAGTTGAGCACAGATCCTTGGTGTAACCCCATAATAATCGAAAAATGCTCCGAGTCGCATCCCACTATCCTGACCTTAGTCTTAGCTCCATAGCATGATAAAGTAAAGTAAAACCATTTATGTTGGTAGTATATACTACTACATGCATTCAAACCAAGAGCGGAGAGAGAGAGTTACCTAGATTTCGAACGTATCTAGTAGCTTTTGTTTAAACCTTAGATTTGTATTAAGAAATTCATTGAATATATATAAATACTTAAATGCAATCCCAATAACTAACAAATTATGAATTCGATTGCAAGTTCAGTACCTATAAACTTCAAATTATAGCACCTCCTCTGATTTAAACCCAAGTAAAAAACCACTAAGTAGAGATGAAAAATAGGTGGTCTAAAAGATTCATTCTTCCCTTTTTTTCTGCCACCAAACCTCCCTATTATTGTCTCTCCTTTTCCCTGTCTTGTTATTTTCACTCTTCTGTTCTTTTCCTCTGTGGTAAAACAAAAATAAAACAAGTGATAGAGCCCTCATTCTGCAACTCTTCCACCTCTTAATTTGGTTTCTTTCCTTTTCTCAAAATCCGAGTAAAAGAACTATCAACATAATTCTTCATTTCTCTCTCCCTCCTCATTCTTTTTCCTCTAAAGGCAATTGAGTTTTCATATTTTTTCTTAAATTTTATTTGTTAATTTCTTGCTTCATGTGAAGTTATATATATAGAGAAAATGCTACCATTGCAGCTATGAGAATGACTTCACTTATTTCCTCATTAATTTTCACCATCAAATACATAGTTATTGCGATTCTCCTTCTTCTCCTTCTCTCTCCTTCCTACTATTCTTTAAGTCCTAAACATGGAACCCTAGACTCTACTCAGGTAAGACTCTTAATTAATTTCTTCTTGTTCTAACCCC